TTAAACAAATTATTAATCCCTGAAATTCTTGGTAATACCAATATTCACTTTGTCTGGTTTTGTTGCAGTATGCCCCATTTTTATTTTTATTTTCAAAATTCATATATCCATTCATATTCATGTCACCAATTTATTTAATTATAGGAAATTTCAGATATATATATATATACAGTATTATATAATGGATAACAATTCATGATCAAAGGTAAAATGTTGATTTGATGAAGTCAATGAAAAGTTGAAAAGTAAATGATATATTAGACTGTATAACAAAAAACCAAGCCTGTGTATTAAAAACATTCAATAAAGAAATACTATATTAATTTTTTTATTTATTATAAACATTTTATTTTTATCAATTTGGAACTAAATTTCCTTCCCTCCGATATTAATATTTGTTTTTCAAATTTGCGTAATGATCTTCAAGCCAATAAAATTTAATTTTTGCGTGATATCTGGAGGGGAGATCGTCACATAATTTAGCCAATGAAATCAAATGTCCACTATGCTCTAACAAATGCTCTAAAATAAGTGTTGTCAACAGTGGTAAAAGGCTGAAGATCACAAATTAACCACTGAACAAGATATTTAGTATGTTCCATTTGTTTTTGTTCATCAAAAGGTTCGATTTCAGTAATTGTTCTTTGTTTTTTAACACTCCTAACAGGTATGTCTATTTGATGTTGGTCTTTGAGATGTTTACGAAGTGTTGTAGTACCTGTTGTTAATTTATACTTAATTGAACAATTTTTACAAACATTATAGCCTCGTGCATCAGATGGATTCCTATTGAAATGTTGCCATAAAGGATTTGATGTTGATGATGACATTGATGAGGTAACAGAGATACTGGAGTCTGTTATTTCCGATTGTGCATCACCAAAAACTTGACTAGTAAAATAATCAAGATTCATCCTATTAAAATTTTCTTGGTGGTAGTAGTCATTAATTTCTTGATTATTAAAAGTTTGTTCATCCATTTCAAAAAAAAAAAGGTAACCTAAGTATATTATATAATTATTAATTTTGAAAGAAAAAGCAATATGATTTATAATTATTTTAACAATATTAATGGACAGGTAATTTAATTGTTGTTAAATTAAAAGTTATCTTTATTTTATTCGAATTTAGATTCTTTAAATAATAAAATTACAATTCTTAAAATACAAATATAGATCATGAAAGAAATAAATAAAATTATAATCTCTATTGTATGGGAGCTTATAGACTTCCTGGAAAATATTAATCATAAAGATAACATTCATAAATAAATATAATATAATAATAATAATTAATAATCATTGTACACCATCACCAACACTCCTAAAAAATATCAGGACAATAATATTCATAATTCTTTGAAGAAAAATGCAAATAATCCCGATTGCCAAATTAGTGATAGTGAATTTAAAAAGACAAATTTCTCTACATTACCAAATATGGTATTAGTATATATTAATTGCCAATTTCGACTAGAATTATTTTACCAATTGATCAAGATCAAGATTGTTACAACAATTATAAAGTTTGTATTTATTATATCAAAAATATTGCTTCAACCACAAGGAAATAGTTGACCTTTTTATATTATTAGAAAAATGACAAAACTACAAAATGGTGAAAAGGCAAGAGTCATTATAGGTTACAATTCTTTTCGATTCTATATTAATATAGTAATAGCCAATGACAAAAGGGTCTGATTTTTGATCTTTTATTTCATTAATATTAAACAATTGATCAATGAATTTTATTGGATTTTATGTGACAATTGGTTATTTCCAGTCCATTATTTCTTTATTTTATAGTTTTTTTCTTTGTTCAATATCTCTATTATAATTTTTGTCAATTTCCTTCTTGATATATTAGTATTAGTATTAGTAAATAAATATAATCCGGTATTAGTATTTACTATTTGAAAATCTTTGCTTTTTTGGCCTCTTTGTTATATTATTCGTCACACCTTAATTATAACAATGTTATTTATCACGTACGTCACATGATAAGATCTTGTGTAATTTTCAAACCGCTTTTTCAAACCAAACCAAACCAAACCAAGCTGCCCCATCCCTACATAAGACCTTCCTTTATATTAGTCACGGGACATTGCAGATCAAGTGTCATTCAATATAAACATTGCATGAATAAAATTATTATCGTCCACTTCAAAAAAAAAAATCTCTGTTTTTCATATAGCAAGCGATTTTCAACCATAATAAATTTTTTAGAGCCAGACTGGGGCTTT